TCACTCACGAAAGCTCATGCTCCAATTCGTCTGTTAGTCTATAAGGTGCCACAGGACCCTTTGATGGTAAAAAGAGAACACAAGTGCTTTTTGGAAGGGCTTCCCTCAGTGTCTGATTCAAGGTGTTTTGGTATTCCAGCTGTCCCCATGATGCCTTTTAGTTTCCATGCACATTCTGTATCCTGTTTGTCATGGGCAAATCCAAAACGTCACCGAACCACTTTTCCCCTATTACACTGTAAGCTGAGAGACTGTCGAATAGTATAAAGTAAAAAAATGAGACTTTCTAAGGACAAAGCACTGCCTGCACTCTGGCACTGCAGAGTTCCTAGCGACGCTTTGTTTCCTTCTATGTGTCCTCCATCGAGGAGATTTCCACACTGGGAGAATAAAATAAACATCTCACTTGCAATAAACACGGTATCCCTGACTCTAAATAAATAATCATCTGCCCATGGGAACACGTGCTTCAACCGTCTCACCCTCCCCCCCCCCCCCCAAAAAAAAAAAAAAGTTTAGTCTTGGAAAATAAATGATCAACATGAGAACATAGGAACTGAATGTCTTATGGTGTGGGTTTAATGAGCCATGTCTCTCAAGAGTGGGAAAAGGGGCAGAGGGCTGCAACAAGGAATCACCAATGGTTGAGTTAATACTTGCACAGTGCACACACTACAAACTGATACAAACAAGGACTCGGAGTGAGTCACAGGCTGGGGGGAGAGCAAGGTGCTGCTAGAAGTGATGCTGGCGACTTAATAGCTGGTGCTTTTCCATCTTGGTCAATACTTAGGAGATGACCCAGGATGGTGTGGAGGGCACTGCGCAGCTAAACAAAGATGATTTATTAGGTGCGCCCTTCCCTCTGTAGCCCCGGCTACAATACAAGTGCAACCTGTTGTGTTCACAGCATCCTCACAGAGAAGCTGGATAAAAACATCAAATGTTCTCGCTGGAAGTTGAAATGTAACGCTACTTTATTTCTTAGAATTCAGAACAACAACACACAAGAACCAAAACCAGAGCAGAGAGACAAAGCAGGCTGCTCCCTAAAACAGAGAGGCACAACTCACTCCACCTTATTCTAGGCTGGCTGTCTACAGACTGACTGCTGGTCGTATGCTTCCCTACAGAGCTCCATAGGCTGGACGCAGGACCAGGATACCCCCCTGCTCTTAAAGTGATAGCTTGCAATTTCAACACAGTCCTCAATATGCCACACAACCACGCTTCTGGAACCAGGTCCTGACATGCTCATCTAAGCCAGTTACAACAAGCGTGGCTGAACTGTGCCACCACACAGCTGTTCCCACAACAGAGCAATGTGTCAGTCATGGCTCCATATCCATGCTTTTCATGCTGCCGTGCCTGCCTATGTTTGATGAATGCATTCTGGGAAAATCTGGGCACCCATCCCATTGTACCTCGGCAGAAGACAATGTCTGCAGAACACACACACACATCAGCAACACTTGACAAGATGTAAAACTGAGGTTCTGACCAATTGTGGCTGTTCATCTTCTCCTCTTGAGTTGCCTTTAAGAGCAAGTGCCACTTCAAAATCCTCTCCCCATTTGCACAATATTTCCCTGAGGAATAACACACTTCGCCTGCTGGCACATTTAACCCAGCTGGTACTACTGGGAAAATCCATTCTGTGGGAAACGGATGTCCTTACACAAACTGTCCAGATCTCCCAAGCAAAAGAGAAATACCCCCTGCTTGGCTCAGGTCTTATCTTCCACCAAATATTACATTTTTTAGAAAATGGCACCTCAGTCCCATGATGCCTGATTCAGGGTCATGGGGCTCAGGCTAAAGGTTTGTTTAATTGTGGTACAGATGTTCGACTGGGACCCTTCCACCTTGCAGGGTCCTGGGGGCTTTGATGGGAGATAAGGAAGCAGCCATGTGCATGCCCAGAGGCAGCAATTTAAGGGCTGAGTAAGTTTAGGCTCCTACAGGATTTGGTGGGAGTTTTGTGGATCACAGTGCAGCCAGCCCTGGGACTTAGGTGCCTAAGTACCTTTTGTGGATGTGGGCCTATGTACGTAATCACTCTGATCCATTTTTTTCTCCTCTCAGTCCTGTAGCGCTAATGCACCTATGGGGAAGTTCACTGCATTCTGTCCCCGCTTCCACATCAGTGAAATAAAACTGCAGTTTGCATAACTTCTTGTGATGGTGACAGCATAGCCAAAGCACAGCTCAATGTCTCAAGAGCCAGTATGTGGATCTGGCAAAAATAGCAAGTTAGAAGATGTGTGAACTCATCCTTGGTCATCTAACTATTTGGGGAAAACAGCAAATCCTGTAACACTGTGGAGTCACTGGTTACCCTCTGCTAGGGTGACCAGATGTCCCGATTTTATAGGGACAGTCCCGATTTTTGGGTCTTTTTCTTATATAGGCTCCTATTAACCCCTACCCCCGTCCCGATTTTTCACATTTGCTGTCTGGTCACCCTACCCTCTGCAATATCCATAACCACACAATGTAGCTTTTGTGCTGTGAAAGGGGAGCTGAACAGCCAGCAGAGGGTAGCACAAGTTAGTCAATAAACCTATTCCTAGAGGAGGCTGCTTCAGTGATCAAAAGGGCTCAGAACCACTTGTTTAAAATCTGTGTCTACAAACCAGAAGAGGACAACACTGAGAAACGTAATTATCACGCTTTGAAGAGGATTTGGAAAACAAAGATGAAAACTAACATTCATCGACACTTCAACTGCAGATAATTGCAGGAAACTAGAGTGGGGTGACAGATTTCATCACCTTTTACCAAAGTCATTAGCTCTCGTTTGACCAAGTGTCTTGTAATGATGAGTCATTAGCTGATGGCTGGCTTGCGGCCTTAGTGAAGCAACCTGATGATTTCAGTTCTGAGGGCAAAGGGGTCCACCTCAAATAAACTAATGGCAGTGCTGAGTCAGATCGGGGCGTGGCCTTGACTGGAACAGTGTTCTGAGAGGAAATGACATGTCTCAGCAATACTGAGAGACTCTGGAGGGGACAGCGCAGGGGTGTTGGTACCAGAGTGTTTCATCTTTAGCTTAGTCAGTTGTACACCAGCCAGCCTGACTGAAAATGCTTCCACTCTAACAGTTGCCCTGGGGTGCCTGAATGAGACTGGTTTCAGTCCAATTCACGGTCGACAGAAGACCCACCATCATATTTGACACCAGTTGATACACTTGTGCAGACACACCAATGTGGAGTAGTCATGGGGAAGCCTGGTCTGCCCTGGCCTCTTATGTAGCTACAGTGGGGACTTAAGCCTGCAGTGCTGTTAATCCAGTACCTCTCATTAGTCAACAAGAATTGATTACTGTTTTTAAAGAGAATTTAAGGACTGTCGTGCTTTCTTTTTATCCATAGTACAGATGGCCACCTCTAAAGCAACAGTCAACTAACTACACTCTTCTCTGTGTATCTCAGATTTGCTGACCTTCAGGGATGGCTGCAAGGCCTGTCTTCTTGGGCCTTGTCTACAGGGGGTATATGCCCTGGATAGCCATCCACTGGCATCGCTACAGCTGCGCAAATACAGGCCCCTCCTGTACTCAAGGACATTGCAATTCAGTTTGGTGCAGTTTACTGCGGCTTGAAAGTAGCATAAATGGCACAGCATGAGCTGTGGCTTTCCCTATCTACACCAACGGCTGGTATCAGGGTGGAGCAAGACCTTAGGCAGGCTTCGGGGTATGAAGAAACTTGATGGAAGTTGGTGTTTGGGAAGTGGGGGGAGACGGTCTGCTGGGGGCGGGAAGCTAGTAGTAGTACACTAGCAGCTAGATGTCCCACGTGAGATCACAGCCCCATTTTGCTAGGCACTGTACATAGCCATAGTAAGACAATCCCTGCCCTGAAGTTACAATCTAAATAGACATGACAGGCAAAATGAGGAAGGAGGCGAGAGAAGGGAAGGGACTGCCCCAAGGTTATACAGCAGGTCAGGGGCAGAGTTGGGAACAGACAGTTCCTTTCTGGGTTGAGATTTGCTGCTGGTTGAATTGTTTTGAACTTTGTCTGAGGTCCCTAAAGTAAGAGAGGTGCTTTATTATTATTATTTTGGTAAGACAGTAAAACTAAACCAAATCATTTCATTTGTGGTTTATTTTTATTCTGTCTGCACCCTGAAGCAAAGTTGGAATGCAAGATTCTAATATTCTCTTTTGTAACTATTTGCTCAATAATAATAATAAATATATGACATTTAAAGAACTTACATCACTTTACAAACTCTGTATAGGAACCACTTTTCCAACGCTGAAATGCAGCCAATTTTTTGGCAGCCTTGCTAGGTTTTCTTATAGCACACAAAGACTACACAACAGCTGTAGGAGAGGAAGGGAAGAATACCACCCTACGCAGGTGAAACTAGAGGGGAGTGTCTTAGGGAGACAGAAGGCAATTTCCTCCAAGTTGGAAGTTAGCTTCAAGAATTTTAAGAACTTCATAAAACAAGTATTTTAAAACACTAGGGCATTTCTGGGCAGCATTTCCACTTTAAAACGCTGCTCAGGGACTGTATGAGGATATCATGGTTTCTGGTTGTTGTTATGAGGTCCCTGCCAGCAATCTAATTGTGACTGGCCTAAGTTACAATACACATTCCTTTGAAATCCCATTAAAATACCCAGCTGCCACTTCTGTTCCATTGGGACCTGAATCTCTGGCCCCTTTGCTTTGATATGGAAGCAAAGCTGACTCTAAAGACTTGGATCAGTCGTTGTCTGCTGTAGCACTGAATGGTACAACAAGAAGCCAGCTCCCCTCTAACTCTTCTCCCTCCTTTGCACTAGGCCTCTTGACTCAATCTTTCATTGCTCCTTTGGAAATGGAGAAGTGCAAGGTTTATCGCGGAATCTGGTGCATCGCTGAAATAGGTTCCTTGTGTGCATGTCCCCTCCCCAATCTGAACTGTGATCATAGGAGGTGTTCTTATCCTGTCAGTCTTGCTCGGATCCTGCTGAACATTCCTGAAGAGCTTCCCGCCTGTTAAAACGAATGCAAGGATGTCCAGGTAGAATCAGCTAGTCTGGCTAGAGTGGGTTCCCCTGGTGTTTCCATGTTGCTGGCAGCTGCTCCCTGCAGAGGAATCGAGGCAGATGTGGTGGGCAAAGGGATGTTACCTCGCAGGAATGTGCCTGGAGCACTGCCATTCACGTCATTCCCCGGGTTGGCAACATTAAGGGCACTGTTGCTGACTGTCCACAGACAGGGATAGTGGCTGGAACGAAGCAGTGTAAACCATAATAGAACTTAAAGAGGTATTTCAAAGTAGATTAACACCCCCACCTCCCTGCTCCCATGGCACAATATGGCAAAGTAAAGTGCATTACCCAGTATTGGCTACTGTCCATGATAGCATACCACACTCAACAGGCCACTGGTCTCAACTGGCAACTCCTGTGTGAAAACCCAATAAGAACTAGGGCTGGTTTGGGGCAAGGGGGGGAAGGGGAGGAAATGTGAAGCTAATTTTGAAATCTGAAAAGGTTTATACTTCTAAATTTTGAAAATAGTTCCACCAGCTCTGCAGCTGATCAACAAAGGAGAGGACATTTTTAAAAAATGTTTTCTCCAGTGACTTTCAGAATTTTAAAATTAAAATCCTCATCCAAACTTCTAAATTCAAAACGTTTCAACTTCTCGGTTAACAATACTTGATACCTTTGTAACATCTTATGAACTGGACTTCACAATGCCCCAGTGAGGCCAAGTATTATCAGCCTCCTTTTACACAGAGAGATTAAGGCCAAAATATTTTAGTGTCCACTAATTTGGGATGCCTGAATTTGTATGTGTTGAAAGGAGACATTGCCTTTCAGAGGCGCTGAGCACCTGCAGCTCCCATTGATGTCAGCTGGAGTTGAAAGTGCTCAGCCCTTCGGAAAATCAAGCCTGGATTTTCAGGCTGGGCACCCAGAAAATAAGGAACCCACAATTAGTGAATCCTTATAAAAATGCAGCCGTGATTTTCCTGGGGTCAATCACCAAAACCAGGCATAGAACTCAAGAGTCCTATTGTCCAGTCCCATTTATATAGCCCCTGGATCAAATGCCTTTCTATTGCTGGAAGGAGAACACAGAAGTCCTGACTACACTAAGTACTGGCTCGCACTCGCCCCTCTCCTTCCCTTGACTAAGTATTCTCTTAAAGGTTAAATAATAGACTGAAAGGACTAACTGTGCACTAGATAAAGGGTGGAGATAATACTAATTACCATTTATTTAGTGCTCTCCATTTCAAAGAACAGCACAAAGATTAACTATTTAAGCCTCACAAAACCCTGCTGGTAAACATTGTCGTCTTCATTTTACAGATTGGGAAACTGAGGTAAAGTGATTTAGGTAAGGCCATGCAATGAGGTGGTGGCAGAGCTAGGCTTGGGCTTGGTCTACACTTACCCCCCAAGTCGAAGTAAGGTACGCAAATTCAGCTACGTGAATAACGTAGCTGAATTCGACATACCTTACTTCGAACTTACCGCGGTTCAGACGCGGTCCACACGCGGCAGGCAGGCTCCCCGTCGACTCCGCGGTACTCCTCTCGTTGAGCTGGAGTACCGCAGTCGACGGCGAGCACTTCCTGGTTCGATTTATCGCGTCCAGACCAGACGCGATAAATCGAACCAGGAACTTCGATCCCCAGCCGTCAAACTACCCGGTAAGTATAGACCAGCCCTTGGTCAGAAAGTCCTCAGTTCTAAACCCTTGCACATGCTTCCAAGCAATGCTGCCTAATCCTAGTGAAGGAGAAACTGCTGGGCTTGTCCCTTCTCTAATATCTATGGTTCCACTGTAACCTTACCTAGGACCCGCAGTGGCAGTTCCCTTGGCATGTGGTACTGAAAGCAAGTTGGCATGTGGAGTGGATTGTAAAGAAGTCCAGCTATCGTGTGTTGGAAACATCTGCAGATTATTGCTTGAGCTCTCGATCAAATTCACTTTGGAGGAAACACAAAAGTTTGGTGACTATACCAAGTTATTGCAAGGCAATAAAAGAATGTAGAAAACAGGCAGGACAGAGAGAATCTAACTGGCTAATACAGGTTCCTCCCCATGGGCTTGAGACAACAAGCACACAGGGAAGAACAAACTTACTTTACTCATGTTTTTTTCACTCAAAAGGTGAATCACGACACTAGTCTGGATGGCAGAGGAATGGTAACAGGACCAGAGCTGGCTGAATGATTTTGAACGGAACATTTTTCCATTGGAAAATGCCGTACTGTTGATATCAAAACTTTCCACGGGAACATGTCGATTTTGACTAAATTTTGTTTGGAAAAAAATGGTGAGCATTTTGAAAAGGTTGATGTGTTCCACACCGACCTTATCGCAACAGAATGGTTCAATTTTTCATTTCAAAATGATTTTTTGCTTAGAAATGTATTTTATATTATAAATAGAGCTGAGTGAATAGCTGGGTGTCCCAGGGCTTCCAGGCTCCTGTCTCCACAGGGGAAGCTTGGTGGGGCTGCTGGGGGGCTATGCACCATGAAAGCTCCAGGGATCCTGGCCCTGGGGCAGTCTGGCAGGTGGGTCAGCATTTCCCATGGAACAGAAATTCTGAGTTCTGACCCGCTCTAAATGGAATGTAAAACCTTTCATCTCTAGCATTGTCAGTTCAAGTCCAGCCTAAGCCGATAATGAGCAAAGTTACTACCAGCTGCTGATTGTTCAATGACCTATGTGCAGGGCCAGTGCAACCATTTAGGCAATCTAGGCGGTCGCCTAGGGCACTAGGATTTGGGGAGCGCCATTTTCTTCTGCAGCGACTGCGGTGGCCGGATCTTCGGCTGCCCCGGTTGCCACTGGCATTTAGGCGGAGGGAGCTGGGGCAGTTGAGCGCAGGGAGGGCCGCCTGCAGCAAGGGTGGGGGGGCGGCACGCAGGGGAACTCCCTGCCCCAGCTCACCCCTGCCCCGCCTCCTCCCCGAGCATGCCGTGGCTGCTTCACTTCTCCCGCCTTCCAGGCTTGCGGCGCCAATCAGCTTAGGCGCCACAAGCCTGGGAGGCAGGAGCAGTGAAGCAGCGACGGCGTGCTCAGGGAGGAGGCGGGGCAGGGGTGAGCTGGGGCGTGGGGAGGTGCCTCAGGGCGGGGGCTCGGGGATGGGGGGGGCGCAAAGTGGAAGTTTCGCCTACGGCGCAAAATATCCTTCCACCGGCCCTGCCTACGTGAAACAAACTGATGCTCTCAGTCCTGTTCCTTGTGAACCTGTATCTATATCAGAGAAACTGGCACCAAAATTGGTATTAACTGGCAGTCACAACAGGAAGATGAAGGACTGAATGGGACACAGTAGAGCACCTCAGAGAATTTTCAGGCAGAGGAGGCTCTAAAGACACATTGACAATACAAAAACCTGTTCCAAATCAGCTCTTAACATTCCCTTAATGTTAAGGGCTGCTTTTGACTCTGGAGGGAGACTGTTTCATTACTTGGAGTGAAAGGAAGGTCTGAAATGGTTCTGGGAGTTTGGGTATAATTAATAAGAAGTAATTTAAACACAATTGTTCTCCTTCTTCCATTCTCATCTATCTTCACCTACTTAGCCCTCATGACATATCTACCTCTGTAACTTTTATACTTTTGTTTTCTGTGAACTGCACCTTTAAATTTCTGAATACTCTCCTTGTGTGTGGAGTTCAGGAGCTATTTTGTTCTCAGAGTTCAGTGCAGACTGTTACAGAAGAGACACACACTGTGCTCTCTCCATTGACTTCTGTTTTTTCTTGCTTTGCTGTTTCTTTTAATGTAAGGAAGAATCGTGCAGGCTGTTTGTGAGGACACATTGCAGCCTTACCTGTTGAGGAGTGATTTCTCTGCATGTACGAAGCAGGATATGGTGCAGCCCGATGCCCTCGAAGGGCTGCATAATGCTCACAGCCATGGTGGGAATGCGGGGCAGGCAGAGACAAAGCTCCTCCATACTGATAATTAGAGTTTCCTGCTGCACACACTGCATCTGGATTGGAAATCAACCAGCCACCTACTGTGAGGGAAAAGGAAGAAACAGCAAGCAAAATTAATAAAAATTTAATAAGGAAAGTAACCAGGCTTCCTAAAAATGTACCCTGCCAGATCACAAAAATTCCAGACAGTAGGAAACCTGCTTGTTGCCTGGCGTTTGTTTTGTACCAAAGAACGAGTTCCAAGCCACAAAAAAGACATTTAGACACCAGATAACAATATCGCTAATGCTTAGATAGCATCTTCATCCCAAATGGTCCCCCAGCACTTAACAAATTTTAGAAAGGAAGCCATTCACTCCCCCAGTGAAATGCAACCTAGGGTGGAACATGGCAGCTTCTTATCAGCAAAGAGCAATACTACACAATAGCTTAAGGCAGGATGTGAAGAATACTACAGTATTCAAAGGAAGGGGGGCAGATTTAGGAAAACAAAGTTAGTTACCTAGAGGTGTAATTTGCCCTTACTCTTATGAAAAGTACCATGGGATCTTTAATAAGCACAAATGGTCAGGACCTCAGTTTACCCTTTTATTCAAAAGATGATAGCAAGGTACCAACCGCTAGCAAGGTCTGCCAAGATTACAGAGCAAGAGATCTTGGCTATTAACCTGGCACTTTCATGTATTGATTGTCCACTCAGATTTTAGAGGGGTGTAAAACACTTGCTAATGCAGAGATTTTTTCATACCCTGGAGTTCAAACAGCACAAGCAGAAGCATGTTACCCTATGTTAGTTGTACATTATGTGTTATGAGCAAAATTCAGACAGGCTACAAATCAAATTTAATCCCCAGGGCCAGGGCACACATCAGGAGTTGGGTTTCATTTGTCTTTTTTTTTTAAATGACACCATTCATGTAATTATAATTAACAGGCAATTTAGTTTTACTCAAACAAATCAACATCTATATTGAATAGAGTTGTCTTCTGGGATCGCTTCCCGACCCCTCACTCCAACTTTCACTTCCCTCAAAAGCCCCAAAGACGACTCATCTATTCCTCTGTCCGAGGGGAGCTGGATGTGCCTCCTTCTGGAATCCACCCAAACTGCACCTCAGTTTGGCATTTCTCTAAAGAACAATGTAACTTGACGCCTTTACGCCTATCCACAATGCTGACCTCACTGCCTCTCAAGCAATTCCATATGCTGCACATCCATGGGCTACCTATTCTGTAACACTCACCATGTGCTGTACATACAGATGCCATAGTTGCCAGCTACCCATATGTATTGTAAGGGAGACAGCAAACCTAGGGCCTTCTGGCACACAAACAGAAGTACCTACTACTGGTACTGAAATAAAGAGGCTCTTCTTCAACCAGACTGAAGTAGAAGAGTTTTATTCTGTAGGCCTCAGGACACTGGAGGGCCATGATGCACAAGCACCCAGTATTAATACCGAGCAGATAGCTGTGACTTTCTTGTGAACTACTGAGCAAATTAAATATCTTGTTGTTTGCTATGGTTGGGACCTCATAATGCAATCGTTCATGGGCATTTGAACACACAATTTCATTCGTGAACAAAACAAGTAAGATGGGCAATCCAAAATTCATTTAGAGGTGGGAATAGAATTGCCAGTGTGACTGATTATAAAGTACATGGTGGCAATTAGAAATAATAATGGGAAATGAAATCAAAATAGTTTGTGGAACAGGCAAGAAGCAAAAAATGTCAGTAAAAATGTTTCAGAGAAAAATCTGGAAAGAAAACATTTTTCACAAATATCAGAGTTTATGAATGGAAGAAAAGCCAAATTTCAATAAAACAAGAACAACCACTCCTCCTATTTTTTATGAATCATTCATCCAGCGATAATGATGGGACATTTGTAGGGATAACAAGAGTTTCCAGAGTTATAATACTAAACAAACAAAAAAAGAACACAGCTTTGGAAAGGTTATAAGTCTCAAACTGCCAGGCTCAAGCAAACCTCTAAATATCGGGGATTATAAAGAAAATGTCCTTGTAGGTAGATTATCCCGTAGCTGCCTACTACATGGTTTCTTGAACCTCCCTCTGACGTATTTATAGTATTGGCTTCCATCAGTGACAGGGTTCTACGTTGGATAAGACCAGTGGCCATCTAGTCTAGCACAGCCTATGTCCACAATACCTATTATATTACATAATACTTCAAGTTCCCATGAGTAAAATGATGTTGGGAAACCTTACGGTGAGAATATGTCATATGTTGACCTTCCGAAACATTTTCGGGAGTATCCCTGGGATGGTTTCTGAAAGAGAAAATAATGAGTGGTTATGTTGTGCTGTATTCAAAAGAAGGTGAAAGGGTTAGGGAAATGGAAATTGAAAAAAAATAAAAACTGAAAATTGTTCAATTTTAGGTTTCATCAACTGAAAAGACAAAGGAAAATGAAGACAAAAAAGAAATTCCATCATCTTCAGCTGATCGCTAGAGAACTGTAGAAAGCTCTGTACTATGCAAGATGTGTAGTCAAGAAGGCAGGAGCCCTTGCCTCATTCCATGTGCAACCATGTCCCCGGCTCTGTCATCTTCGGGGATTGAACCCTAGCGCTCTGGATCTAAGTACATGAGCCTTTTTTGCTTGAGTGAAAGGACCAAGGCCATTAACTTCAAGGCAGTAGTAGACTCAAACCTCTATACATGGTCCAGCCACCGGAGGGGAACAAAGAGCCATATTTTGTTAGCATGGGTGGCACATACAAACCATTTAAAGATGACAAATAAATACACTATTATTTTCTGACAGTGCATGTCTCTCTAACTTCTTAAATACAGTGATCTCCTATGGAGACTATTTTAAAGAAATTGGTCACACTTTACCATAAAGGTATAGTAATTACAGTGTAGTAACATTGCAATTTCACTGTGGTTATGTTGATATCTGTGGTTACTACTTATTCATATAACTAGATAGTTACATGAAACGAGAATATATGAGAATAATTAAAGTGTAAATACAATGGAGCTAACATACCTAAAATCTACCACTATGTGTATGAAATGCAACACTGAAGGGTTAATAAGTAGTACAAACAGTCAGCATGTAAAACTTCTATTTCTATGAGTTAGTGGTAATTATATACTGAAAAGCAAAACCAAAGATAACCATAATGTAACTCTACTGTAATTACAGTAGTCTTATTTATAGTGACCAATGCATGATATTTCAGCATTTTGTATCAGCAGTGCACTCACCCATGTAGGACCAAAATGTGATGACAAATACCGTGGTGTAAATCTGGCATTAACACCACTGACCTCAATGGAGTGACTCTGGATTTATAGCAGTGGAAAGGAGGTCAGGATTTGCCCCTTATCTTTCTCAGAGTATTGTTATCATTTTAACCGTAACAGCAGCAAAAGTCATCAAGCTGAGTAAAAGTCGAACTCACCTTTCCTTTGCATCCAGGAAGGCTTTGGCAAAGGGATTATACTTGATTTTGAGAGCTGTTATCTTGGGTTTACAAAAAACAAGGCATGTTAGTGAAGGTAATTTTAACAGAGACTTGACATAGCATTGTCCAGAGTCAACTGAATGGACTGAGTTCCGCCTCAGTTAGTGAAACAAAAGACAGGCATTGTATTTACCATGTGGCTATATGTCAGCCAGGTGCATTGTGTGGGAGCATTGCTCTCCTCTGAAGCATCCGACATTGGTCACTGCCAAAGGCGGGAAACCAGAACTGATGGACCAATGGTCTGATCCACTATGGCAAATTCTGTATTACTGTGAATACTTCTCCCAAAGCTGCTGAATTGCATAGAAATACGTATAATATCTGTAGTGACATTAACTAGGAAAAAAGGGACAAGGGCCACCAACCCTCATGCTTCAGGGCACAGCCTGATTACAGTTTGGGGTCAGGAAGAAATTTCCCCGTATTATAGTACAATAGTCTGGGTGCATTATAGGAGGAGTGGAGGGCTTATACTTTCCACTGAAATATCCAGCACTGGCCAGTGTTAGAGACAGATACTGGACAAGACAGAAAGTTAGTCTGTTCCAGCATGGTAAGGGGATGGGCTACTGGTACAGATAGACCAATCCAGTATGGCAGCAGGCAGAATACCAGACTAGCCTGACCATTCATCTGTCCTGGTACTGTAGTCAGATTCTAGACAAGGTGGACCAAGGGTATGTTTTGTTCCAGCAAGGAGACAGAGTATTCGATTAGATGGGCCCTCAATCCGCTCTGGACTGACGGAGACAGGATGCTGGATTATTTTCACTATTGTTGTGTGCTGATCTGGCAGGTCTTAGGCTATTAATATTTCTCATCCGCGATGACCAAATTGTATGACATTATTACCCACCTACCTCTTCATTTTGATAAGCAGTGACAGCTATGAACTGAGTCTCCGGAAAGGAGCAGTTCATCACCATCCTGTGTGGGCCTCCCACACGAACGATGTGAACCTGAGGCTCATATTTATGCAAGGAATTCAGCATGATCTGCAGAAAACAAGGAGGAAGAGAGGTGGAATTAATAGGCAGCAAGTTTAAAACAAACCAAAGCAAGTATTTCTTCACACAGCGCACAGTCCACCTGTGGAACTCCTTGCCAGAGTATGTTGTGAAGGCCAAGACTATAACAGGGTTCAAAAAAGAACTAGATAAATTCTTGGAGGATAGGTCCATCAATGGCTATGAGCCAGGACGGGCAGTGTCCCTAGCCTCTGTTTGCCAGAAGCTGGGACTAGATGATAGGGGATGGATCACTTGATAATTGCCCTATTCTGTTCATTCCCTCTGGGGAACCTGGCATTGGCCACCGTCGGAAGACAGGATACTGGGCTAGATGGACCTTTGGTCTGACCCAGTATGGCCATTCTTATAGACTGTCACAGCTACATCAGTGATACCCAGCCTGAAACAGCTGAAGAGCTATGTTTGTCACCAAACAGAGCCATGGAGGAATTACAAGCAATGACCTGACCTTGGCCTTGTGGTATTTGCATCATGTCATTGATACTCGTTGTCAGTCCCATATTGAGGGGACATCATGTACCAACATCACGGTGCAACCCCAATGTCAGCAGAGCTCTCCAGAGTCATCCTCTCTGTGATTCCACACTACACTCTGTCCCCTCCCCAATTTCTGGTTGCTGAAAAAGAGAGAGAAGGATTTCTCCTTTCCTCCCTCTGTTCTAGCTGCGTGTATGGACAGGGACAGACTCCAGCTGAATTATATTAGATGCTTCTGATGCAGCAGTAAATATTTATATTATGATAGTGCCCAAAGAAGACCCCAGTCAGAATTGAGGCACAACTGTGCTGGAAGCTGTACAAACAGATGAGACAATCCCCACCCAGAGGTGCTTATGGTCTAAAAAGCACTGGGACCATGATCTTTTTCTGTGTTTTGCACAGTGCTGAACAAACCAGGGGTCCACAGTGAACAATACAATTATTTGTTATTATTATAAAATACCTCCCTCCAAGTATCACATTTTGATTAAGAACAAAGAAGGGGAAGCAGAGCCCCAGACAGGGGGCATGACTTGCCTAAACACCCAGATTTGTTTGTCTTTGGCTCTGCTACTGACACCGTGTACGACCTTGGGCAAAGCATGTCACCTGTCTATGCCTCTGTTTCCCCATCCATAAAATGGGGATAAACAATTCCCTACCTCATAAGAGTGCTCTGAAGCTAAATTTTAAGGCTTGTGAGGTGCCTAGGTGAGCATAATAGAAATAACAAATTAGAAATACTACAATAAGGAGATACTACTCAGGACTAAGGTTAAAGTAAAGAAAGTATTTATAGGTTTAGCAGAATTTGATTTTTTATACATATATAATTTTGACAGATAATATTGATGTTTATTTTTAAGCATTTTTTCTAATTTTTGTATATATAAAAGTTCACAGTTGCACAAAATTATGGGCATGACAGATAATGGGGGGCGGGTCAGATGATTATTATTTAATGACAGTAGATGTTGAGATTTGAAAAATTAAAGCTTTATAATTGTTAAAACACAAATTGTCAACATCACGTCAAGCTACACTTAAATCAATATCCTTAAATCAAACTCTAATATGTTCTCAAGCAGCATTTTTCTTACTTTGCCTATCTGTACATTTTGATTATCATTGATGGAAATATTTTTTGTCTGCTTGTGTGTATATATAGTAAAATTGACATTTACTGATAAAAATCAAATCCTTCCAAGCCTAAGTATTTACTTGAAAGGAATTGACTCCTGGCTGACAAGTAGCATCCAATATAGGAGTTTTGTACAAAACAAACAAACAATCTTGTGCAATATTTTACTTTCAGATACATCTTTAAAAAAAAAAACAGTCCAAACCAATTTTTCTGTTTGTATTTTTAAGGGGCTCAAAGTGAATGTCACTTATTTCTAGTACATGCAGTTTCCTTCCAAAGGCCAAAGCTGACTCAATAGAATATTCATAATTATCATGAGGCAGAAGCAGACATAGTAATTATTTCATTTAGGAGCAGCCTTTTATTCTGGTATCTGACTCTTGCCAACATTCCACTTACACCAAACAACATGGGGGAAAACAACAAAAACCTAATACCCACAACCATTTTTTCCCCTTTCTCTAAAGTTCTATGTAAAAAACCCAGCACACAAGACAAACTATGAAAAGCCCCCGATGATTAAGTAACCCACAGCACTCTGTCTCTCTTAACATCAAGAAGTCCATTAAAATCTGAAAGTGCCAATTAAGACCTGTTTATTCCTGTTTACGTTTGGGCTCCAGAGAATAATTGGCATCTGTGGGTGAAGAGGGCCCCTCTAATTGCATAAATGCACCCTTGATATTTCTTGATTGGTAGGTGCTTGCGATGGAAGACAAGAGGTGTATGGGAAACATCGTGCTGTACCTGCCCGCTTCCATTGAGCTTGTTGGTAAGTTTCACTTTGCTGAAGGAAACAGAGGCTTTCATCCAGTGTGCCCCGAAGTTGGGAGAGTCTGGGTGAATGTAGACGCAGCTGTGGCTTGGTGGCTCTGGTTTCCCAGCAGGCACCCATTCACCATTCACGTACTTCCAGCGGTGGCCGTCGGTCGGGGCAAAGTCCAACAGGAAGGAGTACATGGCGTTGGGATCCAAACCTGACACGCTGATCTTTAAAACCGGGAACATCCGTCTGTAGTGGAAACAGAAGGCAGGAGTGGGAAAAGCATCATTAGTCCTGATATAAAAGAGGCTAGTTAGTATGTTTCTGCAAAGATGCTCCCTGAGTTGCTCAAAGAACAAATTACCCTCACTTTGGCTGAACCAGAGATGATGTTAAAGGGCTACCATCACTTTGTTTTCATTTCCTGTTGATCAGGCAGAAGCAATCACAAAATGCTTTCATGTTACACCTGAAATATGGAATTTCACCCCAAAAATCACCCTGATTGATGGGACCAGGACTGATAATATTGTCCTGCACTAGTCACACTCTTAGGGCTATCAACTTTATTCCACTGGAGAGGTGGATGGAAATCCCTATGCCACAGTAGTACAGAGCTAGAAGACAGCGAGAATTCAAATCTTATAATTTTAACATCTTAATTTCTAGAAAACTATTAAAAAAATCATTCACACATCCCCACTTTTATCCCTGACCAGCCAATGGGGAGCCATAACTCTGACCATAAACAAGATATATCAACACAGGCAGATTTAAATTTTTCCTTCACTACATAGACATTTTGGAAAAATCACTAAGATGGGAGGGGTTCTTCAATCTAGCAGAGAAAGATGTAACACGATCCAATGGCTGGAAGTTGAAGCTAGACAAATTCAGACTGGAAATAAGGTGTACATCTTTAATGGTGAGAGTAATTAACCATTGGAACAATTGACCAAGGGTCGTGGTGGATTCTCCATCACTGACAAATTTTTAAATCAAGACTGGATGTTTTTATAAAAGATCTGCTCTAGGAATTATTTTGGGGAAGTTCTATGGCCTGCGTTATACAGCTGGTCAGACTAGATACTCAAAATGGTCTTTCTGGCCTTGGAATCTATGAATTATATAGGTCGCTTGAAGGTGCATATGGAACATACATACATAAGAACAGCCTCACTGGGTCAGACCAAAGGTCCATCCAGCCCAGCATCCTGCCTTCCAACAGTGGCTAATGCCAGGTGCCCCAGAGAGAATGAACAGAACAGC